ATGCGTTTACTGGCATGCTCTTGTAATTAATGCATGTTTCTGTTGAAACATATGTACATGTATTTTTATGCCCGAAGATCCGTCTGTCTGTCCGCTAAAACTATACCCATAACTTTTGATTGGTTGGAGCTATGACTTTCATATTCCACATGTGTATTTCTTGTGACAACATACTATTTTGGATAACAGTCTTTTTGACCCTTTGACCTTGGAGTTTGACCCACTTTTGAAAAACTTTAACCTTGACCATTACTTTTGAACGGTTAGTGCTAGGGCTTTCATATTTCACAGGTAGTATTTTTTGTGACAAGACCTTCCTTTGGGCACCAACAATTTGACCCTTTGACCTTGGAGTTTGACCTACTTTTGAAAAACTTAAACCTTTGCCACAACTTTTGAATGGTTTTTGCTAGGGCTTTCATATTTCATAGACGTATTCCTTGTGACAACACCTTTCTTTGAGTACCACCAATTTTGACCTTTTGGCCTTGACTTTAGAGTTTGACTTGCATTTGAGAAACTTGAACCTTCGCCATGAGTTGCCATACGGGGGCATCAGTGTTTCACTAACACATATTGGGTTTTTGCTTTGTTTTGTTTTTGCTTGTTTGTTTGTTTTTGAGAAAATAATATTTTGAACAACACGAACCATATTTTTTGCTGGCGCCATATCATCAATAAAGGCAAATTTACGGACTATATTAATTAATTTTTTCTATGCAAAATCCTGATTTTACTCTGCTTTTCATCGTCTTAATGCGGAGAGACTATGATTTCAGAAAGTCTTAACATGTACTGAGGGTCAATTTTTCATTTCCTCGTAATATTAGTATTCAGTGAAAATTTCTAAATGGTTAATTGCCAAAATTCAACATTTTCATACAATTTCTGAGAAACCACATTAACTCATAATTTCCTATTCCTACACATTTGTTATATATCGTAGGGAATAAAAAATAACTGTGTATTTTAGTCTGTCTTGTGGTGCACCAAACCCTTTTTTGCTCTCCAGTCACAATATAAAATTTCATAATTACACACACTAAAGTTTGTGTTTCAATTCCAAGTCACCAAATTCTTCTGTACCTTTTGATATCTTGTGTTATTACCAATTATTTCAAGTGCCAGCAGAAACAAATATAGATTTTTATGATCAGCAGCAGTAAAGTGCAATATGATCTTGCTTATTGGTGGCTATTTTAGCCCATTTTCAATGAAGTTCTGCTGGCTTTTTCACATTAATCTCCACATAATTACAACATTGATGACAAGCAAACCATGAGAGCCAAATGAAGTATTCAGCTTGTAATGTAACAGTCGCAGAAATCATAACCTTGATAAAGTGATGATGGGACTTCAGTGCAACATTGCTGCACAAATCTTATGCAACGATTACCATGAATAATATTGAACAATCAAAGATTATCCTCAGTACATACATATGTAATAACGGATTTAAAAATACCCCTTATGCAGGAGTGATTCTATGTTAATTATGCATATGAAGCTTTTGGTTTTTTGAGGTATCAAGCAGTGTAAAATAAGGGGTGCGTGGGGAAGGGGTGTTATAAAACAATTTTTTTAATTTTAATATTGGATTTACTTCATGAGTGGGAAAGGTTTTTTGATATTTTCAGGAGTGTGAAGCACAAGAATATTAAAAAAGTTATGCATCACAAGTGGAATAAATTTTATATTCAGCTATATATAAAACATTAAATATCCCCTGTATGTTCACATAATATTCTTTGTTATGAAATTACTTTCAAAAATAGAATTCAGTTTTCATATAATATCAAAACAAAATAATTGAAATAAATATGGCATATGCATTTATTTATTTATGTATTGATTTATTTGTTTAAGTGTTAACTTGATTTAATATTTATAACACTGATTTTCTATATTCAGACATCTAGAAGCATTAGCAGCAATTATGTCTTTGTCCGATAGGCTAATTACATGTATTTTGAGATTTACCATCGGTTATCGTACAAGTTAGGATTCAAGTGATCCGAGAGCAATAAATGCTCTCATTCGTACTGGACATCCTTGTTTCGGTGTTTTGATTTCAATTAATATTCAAGTTCACAAAACTCCAATCTGAAGTTAACGGTTGTAAAAATAAATAAGTTTGCGATATACTAGAATAGATTTGGTTTTCCAAACCTAAACATGTGTTTATGACTCTAACTTGAACAGTTCATTATTTCCTTAAGATCATGGACCTGAACTCTATCGTTCTATGTATGTTTTACAACAAATTATTGGCTTCTACTCTCAACCATAATAAGTTCATGATTTTTACTATAGTAAATGACAGGCAACTCTATATACATACATTCAGAACAAAATGGAAGACGGAGCAGTCTGTGTCCATATTAAGTCAACATCTACAGGGGAAAAAAGGTTATCTAGGTATTTTATAATTAGAATTAACATTTGTATGCACACAAAGATTCTTTGGTATTGTTTAACCTTAACGTTTATTAATTTTACTTCTGGGCGAAAAAATTAGATTTACGAGTTAAAAGTATGACTTCCAATCGAGAGAACCTATGTTTATCTTTGTTTCCTGGCAGTAATTTTCATTTAATCTAATTTAATATTTGATGTTATATAGAATCGTAACTAACAAGGTTCTTTTTTAATTCAATACAAGCAATTCATTGTTTTACAGCTGTATTCAAAGGATCATTTTTTTCTATGCTCTTTATATTTCTAAATGAAAAGAAAACACTTTACTTATACGGTGAACCCTTTGGTGGTTTGTAGTGCTTCAGCACTTTAATTCAAATACTGTGTCAATATCAGGTTATGTACCGCTAACTTTGTCTCATCAATAACTAAGAAAGTCTTGTCTTATTTTCGCAAAATTTTGAAAACCTAGATTGTAAACATTACATTTTTTTTAATTAGTTGTTTAACTTGTTTTCCCGATATACCACACATCATAATACTCTGCCCTTGTCCCGCCGCTCAATTGGCGAGCAGCTGGGTGTTCTGTATAGGAGTCTAAATTATCTTTTTGAGGAAAGGGAACCTACAATGGGGTTTCTATTCCTGTCTTTTGATGATTATAACTGCAGATGGAATAAGAATACAAACATACATTTCTTCTATTTCAAAAATTAATGAACAGAATGGTTTAGTTATTAAGCTAAAAGTTCTTTCTGATATACTGAGAAGAAACCTACTTTTAGGTTCATACATATCGTTTACAGAAAGTAACGTTGATGGATTCAAAGTCTTGAAAGTGCTATAGCCCACACAGTTTTTGACGATGTGATGTTAGTTAAACAATGAAGTTCAGCTATGTTACAAAAATTACTTTTTCAAGAAAATGATCACTAATTTAATTTGAGGCTTATTTGTCGAGATACGTGTATTACCATGGATGTAGGTAATGGATATATCCTCAGTTTTTATTATCAAGACTTCGAATGTCTTAATTTTCCGACAAAGAGATGAAACTTGCTGCACGACCAAGTTTTGTGTCATGTTAAACCTGTTAATAATATAATCTTATACCCGAACGAATTTCTGTAAATAGTGATGCCTTCGCAGCTAGAACTGTTGAGGTCGCAAAACGATTAATATTTTAAATAAAATAAATTTACTTAATTTCTTTTTTATTGCAAAATGTGAGGTTTTCAATTTTGTAACTTTCAGAAATACCACAGGCTTTGGTATGACAAATAAATACGCCTTTGTGCCAAGTGTTTTTTTTCTGTCTCAAAGCTTAGGACGATAACACTTTAATAACCCTTAAATTCATTTGATTTTTCGAAAATCACCTTTAATATCAGTAGATAGAGAAAAAATGCTATTTCTGACGCCAAAGTCGCTTTAAAATTCTCAAATAGTATTTTAAAAAAATTATCATCTTGAAGTTGAATGAACAGACTATATATGGAAACAAGTTGGTATAGATAGCTGTACATGTATATTTACACTATTAATCATTGCAACTGAAAGAATTGGCATGAGTTATTATAACCCTTACTAGCACAAAGAGAATACCTTTCAATCCCTTTAAACATTTATTCGGGCCTTTCTGAAGGTACTGTTAGAAAAGATTTGATAAATGATATCAAAAGGTTGGGACCATGCGCCAGTTCTGGGTGCGACTTCTTTCTTGGTTTAAAAATAAAGGTCCGCGGTTATATCACAGTCTGAAGGCGATAACTGATTACATTTCTTGGTAGTTAAAGAAATCCCAATTTGAATCAGTTTTCAATCATTTATGCCCCATTCAATAGCAGTACGTTTCTTTAATAGTTTTTGTTTAGTATTTTTAAATACACGGATTACTAAGGAGAGAAAAAGAATTTGATTGGCTTATTAACGGAAATCTCTCTTATGAGGATTCGTAAATGCCAGAATCTAATCTTTTGTTATAAAACTTGTGCAAAGCGTCATAACAAGCTGTAATCGCGGAAAACCTTAAAAAAGGTTGATGTAGTATTCTGATATAATTCCGACGGGAATATGGTCATTGACTGCGATAATGGATTTGAATGCATGGGCCGATGCACATTGCTTTAAACAAGAAGCTGGTATGATCAGTGTAGATATACAAGGATTCTATCAACGTTTCTTTTTCTGTATTCCAATCAACCAAAGTAATGTGCTTAGTAACATCATTACACCAGTAGAAGCAAACAGTCGTAAGTTGAGCAGAAATCTGAAATAATATCGAGAGTTGGACCCCGTATAACTAGCGATTGCCTCCTTGGTTCAAAATTTTGTCAAAGTAAATTATGAGTTTGTTGTGTATGCCGTCAATCCTTGTATCGAAACAAAGCCAATCAAGTCGAGATGATCGCGGACCAACTGATTAGATAGTGCTTTGTCTTATAACATTGTAGAGGATGGGGTGATTTAATCGGGCTGTGCTTGTCACCCTCTGAGGTACAGGAGGAGTAAAGCGGGAACTCTACAACTTGAGTGTTACTTTTAACTTCAACAACATTTTTTTAAAAAATTATATTTATATTATGCCTTCAATCTGGTTTGTGTTGTTCATTGCCTCTTCTCTAGAATTATGTACTGTTACTGGCATTGTCAAAATAGGACTTTTAATTCCCACCACAACACCTAGTATTGGACTTCCGTCAAATGATACAATTTTTACAGCTTTTGACCAGGCTCTAAGAAATGTGAGCTCGGTGCTGCATTTTCAGGTGTCTCAAGACACTAAATGTTCAGAAGCAACAGCATTGAACGAGGCATTCAAAATCAAGGACAATGTAGACGTCTTATTTGGCCCCATCTGCGAAAATGGTGAGTACGTTAATTAGTTATTACTAATATTCTACAAGAAGATATTTAAGTTTTCAGATTGAACGGTTTCTAAAAAATCTGAGTACATTTATAATCGCATTCACATTTCTTCATAGTTCCTCTGAATTTGGTAAAGCATTAATAAAATCAATAACATTATATAAGTGTTCTGGTAAATTATTCCAAATAAAAGATTTCATGTCGAATGTTAATTCTTAAGAACAAAGTGTATCATCAACTTTATTATAAATTTTACATGTTTAAAATTATCAATATATATTTAAGAATTAAAATTAGATTATAAGTAACCAATTTGTTTTTTATTGCTTCTAGATACACGTACATGTGTAATATCATTGTAAAAAATTTAAAAAAAAAAATGAAGACAATAGAGATATATTTTACGTCGTGCAAATTTTGTATTATTAATTCTGTCCACATGAAAGCACAGTTGAAAGATTCTTGATTTTAACATGCATAGTGTGCACGTAAATAGCATAACAATATTTTCAAAAAGAAAAAAAGGGAAAGAGCTCAAAGTCGAAAATTCTATTTCGTTGGGGATGGGTGGGGTGGATGGAGGTTCCAACTTATTCGACAAGAAGAACTTTTTGAATACATTAACATGGGAAGATTTAACTATATTACAAAAAGGTGGGGCGGGTCATTTTTCATCCTAAATCTACTGTAAAACATATATTTGGGGGGAAAATGCGTGTGTGTATGTAGGGGGCAACCCCTTCCCCTGATACTAAGTGCCTGATCTGGTTTACAAGAAGCAAATCATTCCATCATAGAGTGTACTTTATTATCTTTATTTCACGCGCTTCATTGAGCAGAATGCGAGCATCTTCTAAGTTACGCCGTATAGGGGAATGGCAGTGTTAGTTTATTAGCCTGGTATTCTTCGCCTGTCACCTTCCTCATCACCCAGCCTTTGATTCTCCCAACCCTGCATCATTATTTTGGTAATTTCATGCTCTTGAACAGATCACTCTATATATATTAGTTTTAATTCACAGGAAAAACAAAAGATTTACAAATCAGAACCCTCTCAGAGGTTGAAAGACCGCAAGTCAACTGCATCGAGGAGTTGGGTATTGAAAAAAAAACCCGAACCTGATTAAATTTTACCATTTGCCGACAGTTCTTACGGAACTCAATCTTTTTGGTTTAAGTGCCACTTCCAGTATTTATTTTGATAAGTCTTGTAATTCTGTATGATTACACAAGGATCAAATACGACAGATAAGAAAGTTCCTGTTTCTTCAATAAGATTATAAACACAGGTTAACCAAATATTGAGGAAATTGTTCAATGTTACCTTTGTAAGACAGTGACCAAATACTGTACAGGTATTTTTGCTCGAGTATATTGGTTTTTACATTTCAATCATTAGGAATTCTTTCTTCTCATTAGTATTTATTTCTTTGCACTAGTGCTGATAAATGTAATTTAATTCATTGCTTTGTAATATTTTTATTACATCAGTATAGTAGGGTATGAAGTTAAAAGATGACAAAGTGTGTTGTACTACACAGGAAACTTGAAATAAAGCTTCGAAACGTTTTCTTCTTAGATTATACAAATGATCAACACATCAGACATGTAACTGCATACATTTCATGCGCACATATAAATCAGTGTTTACACACCTTTAATTACAAAAAAATTCAAATTCTGTCCATATACTCGAAGGAATTTATGGGCAGAGACTTGTAATCGGAAATCCTCTTCATTTATCACTATTTCAGTAGTATTTTATACTACCCTTTTGCAATCAAAACAAAACGAGGATTATTGTTTATGTGAATAGTTTTGCCAGTTGTTTATCTTTAGTTCCGAGACACGCGGTGGTACGTGTTTTCGTTCCACGTTAACCGTCAATCTTGGGTCAACAACTTCCTTGACAGGCACTAAAATGCTTTAGCAATGTTTCTGCATGGACATTTTTTTCCGATTGACTGTCGAAAACACTTTTAAGAAAGCATAAAAATATTGATTAACAAAAACATTTTTATATAAACAAATGAAATTACAAAACAATATTTATGTTTACTGTCATTCTGTTTTCGACTGCCTTTACAGTTTGTTTGTACCATAAATAACGCTCACTTATAATCTAAAAAAAATCTTATTCAACGTCAATTATCACAAAAAAATATAGTAAAGAATAAGCATTCAATTTTTCTAGAAAAAATGCTATGCTAATCGACAACTGGGATAAGACATCTAAATGGGCATTCATAGAAGACATGATAAACAAGCATTTGTTTACACTGTCGATGTAATTGGCATATAAAATGGCGTCTATAGCTGGAAACTTGACCATGAAAAGTCTTTAACAGTATTACTGAAGGAACGACAAAACATGTATATAGATATTGAAAAGGAAAACAATAATTAAATATTACCGGGTAAAAGGAAGCCAAACAATATCTGACGCAGGCTGGTAATGAAATAAGGAAATATTATTATAGCAATTATTAATGATAACGATGAGTTTGAGTCATGCCCGTGTTTGTCTACTCATGTAAACGTAAGTGTAGCTCATCGTTTGTTTTGCTACAGGTAAAAGATAATAGTCCAAAATCTGAAGAACCTTCTTGACACTGGGATAAAATAATCAGTTGTCTATTATCTTGATTAGATACAAACACAGATCTACCGCAGCACGAGAAACGATGGCCCAGAAATTCGAGAACCAACATTGGGTGAATTGTTTACTAAAGACCAGAAACTCCTATCTTAATTGGAATTTTGATTTCTCATCTCGATCTTATCGACAATTTCTCACTGTGAGCAAGATGATGGATATAATCAAATTTAACCTGGAAGGACTCTGGTCCAATCGACTACTCCTCTGGGCAATAAGTACACCAAAATTCCTACTCACGGGCTGACCAAATCACCCAAGGAAACTTAATTTAGAGGAAAACGAGTGTATGTCTCGATTAATATATATCAACATCAGTTCAGTAGAAAAAAATAACATAGCGATAAGAATCGGCATTTTTTCTCTCTCTCTGAAAATGGAACTTTATGATCGTTAGACACTTAGTATTTGATAACGGTGAATGTGGCTATCTTCGATCACTCTGGGGATATTTGTGTTTCTGTGAATGTTTCAACAGAATCCATTTTTACACTCCATATGTAATTAATAACATATGAAATCAAGATAATAGAAATACAAGGAAAATTATCTATTATAAGGAATTTGGACGATTTATACATAAATGTGCATGGTAGAAGAGAACAGTGTATGTTTTTTTAGGGGGGGGGGGGCTTATCATCGAGTCTAAACCGATTCCAAAAATGTCATATCAGAGTAAATTGTTCCATGAAAAGGAAGATAATGAATGCTTATTAAGTCCATTGTAAGAATAATTTAAATCAATGCACTTCGTAAAACTAGGGACGTAAGTCCGTTCTGTCCACAATATTCTCTTAACTAAGACTCCATTGCATGTAACACGGTCTGTTATGTGACCTGTACTGTTAAACTTTCTGGATTTTCCCCAAGTTTCGTTAACAATGTCATCCAACATTCAAATAATTAATTAAATTTTAAGGTATTTATTATAAGGACATTATTTTAAGAGGTAAAAATAGTTATCCCAGTTTGTAGTAATTAATTATTTAATGTTGCAGAGAAAATAATGAGAGAGCTTCTGACTGAAAAAGGCTCACAACTTAAACTTAAGAAAGCTTTAAACACTGCTCACCGAAGAGCTAGGGTAGAATAATGCAGTAAGAGTGATCTGTCCTTCCCTTCTTTTTTGCAGCTATAAGAAGCATTGCAATGATGGCCGACATATGGAATCAGTCGGTGGTGACTTGGACCCCCATTAAGGAAGAGCTTGAATCATACCCCACCCTAATCGGAACCCTGGGAACATACGAAGAAATTGCGAGGAATATAGCAACGCTTCTGAGCTGTCATGGCTGGAAAAGCATAGGTACTGTATATTGTTTGTCTTCTTAGTTACATGTTTACATTAGCTTTATAAAAACCATAGACTGTTTGTACGTCTGCCTTCACAGGTACCTGTTTACATTAGCTTTATAAAAACCATAGACTGCGTGTACGTGCACATGTCTGTCTTCATAGGTACATGTCTGTCTTCATAGGTACTTGTTTCCATTAGCTTTATAAAACCATAGTCTGCGTGTACGTGTACATAAATAAAACCATAGAAGGTGTGTACGTGTACATGTCTGTCTTCATAGGTACCTGTTTACAATAGCTTTATAGAACCATAGACTGCATGCACTACTGTCTTCACAAAACCAAAGGCACTTGTTTGTATGCGTAAAACCGTAAGTAATTGTCTATAGCTTTATAAACATGAAAAAAACCTCTTTATTACCCCCCAAAATCTCTTGTATCTTTCTGTACAATAATCTTGAACTTTTCAAGAGTTGGCTTCTGATATGGGGCATACAAACGAAACATTTGATAAACCCAAAATTGTCTACAAAGAGGATGACGAACACCCGTGAAACATTTTCTAAAGTTTTTTTCCTGTCTGGACACCTTCCAAATGCCGGATTAGAACGCCATTTATATCAAACTTATGATAACTCTGAAGCTTGTCGATTACATGTGCTTTTTTGATGATATGTAAATAATGCTTCGACACAAAATAATTATCTCTTCGATGACATTTCAACTGACATCTCAAATGAAAGGGTAGACGATAGCAAGAATTATAAAATAACCGATCTGCAACTTTGACCACATGAGAGATCAATATATTCCACACGATAAACCCATGTCAATAGCTTTCTGTCAGTTTGGTGCTTTTGCATTCTTTAAAATAGTGTAGTTGTTGTGTTACGATTAACAAATTAACACGCACCCGAGCATTAATTAGTTTAGGAAGTTTTTTCCCCTTTAAGTTTGGTGATTTTATAGGGTCATCTAAGAAAGGAACAGGAAATAGATACGGCAAATAATTGCCTGCAAATGGAACACAAAATTTAACAGCTCTTCCTCGTTTGAATTGTATCATTGCAATCTTATAATCGCTGAATGAACTTTATATACTTCAGTTGAACTTTCGAACACTGATATCTCGAATACTATGGATATGTCGAAGTGATTTTGAAGTCCCAAGTGCTTATTTCTTAAGAAATTTACCCTGGATATCTCGAATCCTCGGATATCTTGAAGTATTTTTTTTCGGTCCAATCGACTTCGAGATAACGAGGTTTGACACTATATATATATATATATATATATATATATATATATATATATATATATATATATATATATATATATATATATATAGGTAAATAGTCAAAGTGTATGTACAGTGTTGCTATTTTTTCTTATGATTGTCAATATCAACTTTTATCAGAACTACAATGCAATTTGCACATTAAATTAAGATACTATATAAACCATTGTAATTCGATTTTTTTTTGCCAACAAAAACTATGAAGTTGTGGATCGTTAACGACTCTAAATTTTCAAAGCATGTTACATTGCAGTACATAGTATACAAAGAAGTGGAGTGCTTTTTTATGATATTGTTATAGGTATTATACACGGAAACAATGAAATAAACAAGCAAATGGCAATCACCACCAAATCAATGTTACGTGACAATGACGTCACCGTTAAAAGAGTTCTGTCCACCAATATGACTGGGAATTCCATGAAAACGGCCCTGTCTTCAATGAAATCTTCAGCAAGAAGTAAGTAAAGCTCTACCATTTACAACAGACGATAGTTTTTAAGAGAAGAAAACAAGCGTTCACTAGGAAAAGTAAAAAAAAAAAAAATTCAGATGTATATTAACTCCATCAATTTTTCAATTTAACTGAAAATGAGGGCTTAAGAAGAGAAAAAAAATTCTTGCACACAAAATAACCATGTTACATAATTCCTTGAATATCATGAAGAAGTGGCATTCCATCTATTCATTTTTTAGGTTTTCTGTTAAGGACACAGGCAACGTACCTTACCTACTGATAATTTTTCAAGATATTCTTAATTTAAGATTATAGTGCCATCAGATGTTCGTAGACAAAAATCAGCATGCATTACCAGGGGTTTTGAAAAGATATTAATTGATGAAAATTAATTCTTGTATAATTCAAAGAAAAATATACAAAAATTACTAAATATATATTCTCGATGTTTTGTTTATCTAAACTTGCTTTAGAGGAAGTGTACAACAGCATATATAGACATTAAAATATAGCACACAGTTCCTTTAAGTATTGGAACAAAAGACAATAAAATTCAAACTACGTTGCGCATGTCCTTAAGTACATTAAAAACAGATGATACAAACAAAAAATAAATTGGATGCCTGGATTGATATGTATTTTTGGGCCTATTTTGATTGTGAATGATGCAAATATTAAATTCCTAAAATATTAAGAAATTGTAAACTTTCTATGATGTTCTAAATTCTACCTTTTGCCTTCACCCTTTTAAAAATAAACAATTTTATCCCTTTGTAGGACATTATTGTAAAAATTGAATAGATAATTAAAATCTATGCGGTTAGAATTATTCATTTTACTTATATAAATATAGTTTATTTGTTATTTTCACGATTTTTGAAAAAAAAGTTTGTTGGTATCATCTGTCTTTAAGAACGGAAAATGACATGAAAAAATTGCGGAACCAGGGCTAAGACCGAAATGAAATTTTGCAAATAACTTTCTAGCTTACATTAATTTTAAAATGGTTTTAATATTTTTTACAAGAATTTAAAAAATATTTTTATGGTAATATTTCACTGAATCATTAATTTGCAATATTTTACAATTCACTAATGTTTTTTGTCTTTGTCGTGAGTTCTTTTGTAAAACGGGCACCTGCATTGTAAAAAACCTATAGTCCCCTCCGGTTTCACCGGTAGGGGACTAATAAAGTGGTCTGATCCTGCTTTTAATACATGTACATCAGTATAGTATATAGCAAACTGCGAGAACGTAACGAAAAATTGCTAGTAAAGAAATCCAACATGAGGCTATTGAATCATTTAATTCCTATTAGCTAATATAAGTAATCTCGAAACTACCTTCTAATAAGAAAGTTAAATCGCCAAATAAATCCCTACACTCCTTCACAGTTGTAGAAAAATGTATGAAAAAATAAGTTATAGACTTATAGTCACCAATTCATACTTCATTAATTTTGTATTGTAAGGTTCCTTGGCACTCCAGTACTCTCAACAACAAAATAGAAAGAAATTCATAATTATACCCCCGCTCCGAAGGAGAGGGGGGTATACTGTTTTACCCTTGTGTGTCTGTCTGTCTGTCCGTCTGTCTGTCTCTCTGTCTGTCTGTCCGTAACAAACTTTGGTCGCAGTTTTCTCAGCAACTACTCATCAGAGGTGCTTGAAATTTTAACACACTCTTTGTTTAGGCATGCCATATGGTGGGATTCATTTTTGTACTAATCCGATGTCAACTTCCTGTTTATCCGTGCGTTTGTCCGTACCATACATAAAAAAATTTGGTCGTAGTTTTCTCAGCAACTACTCATCGCAGATGCTTGAAATTTTAGCACAATCTTTGTTTAGGCATGCCATATGGTGGGATTCATTTTTGTACGAATCCGATGTCAACTTCCTGTTTATCCGTGTGTCTGTCCGTATCACACATAACAAACTTTGGTCGCAGTTTTCTCAGCAACTACTCATCACAGGTGCTTGAAATTTTAACACACTCTTTGTTTAGGCATGCCGTATGGTGGGATTCATTTTTGTACTAATCCGATGTCAACTTCCTGTTTATCCGTGCGTCTGTCCGTACCATACATAACAAATTTTGGTCGTAGTTTTCTCAGCAACTACTCATTGCAGATGTTTGAAATTTTAGCACAATCTTTGTTTAGGCATGCCATATAATAGAATTCATTTTTGGAACAAATCCGATGTCAACTTCCTGTTTATCCGTGCGTCTGTCCGTACCATACATAATAAATTTTGGTCGTAGTTTTCTTACGCTAATACCTCTATTTTGACTTCTGCTTTAAAATTTCATTGAGATATATGCAATACTTTTTAAAATATTCAAATAAACACAACGGTAGGTCTCGCCTATCGCCGCACGACAAGAATGTTACCGGCGTCGTTATGACGTTACTTTTCGGCACTCATTTTCAGTTCATGGGTGCTATTGATGTCGCTATGATATCACTTTTCGGCACTCATTTTCAGTTCATCCGCAAATTATTTTAAACGTCTCACAAGGTTCTTTTCATTAATTTTTACTACCATTTTACTATAAAGCGTCTTCTTTTGAGTTGTAGTATTAAAGTAATTTGAACTTACCCATATGATCTTTCTAAATTAATTTCTTTTGCGTAGATCTTATGTATCCTCAGATTCAATTAAAGGGGTAAGTGAAATTGAAGGTAGACTGATCGTACACTCACTTTCTTCTTTAATTCCCAGTTGAAACGTTGAAATTTTTTTTAAATTGATTTAAACACTGAACTTGATGTCCCAAATATATACTACAAATAAGGAAAATAATTAACATTATAAAGATACAAAAGTTGTATAAAATGCCATTGTAAATGAAGTTAAAAGATGAATAGATGCTAAGAAAAAGAGAGTGCTTGGAAGATTAGCCTTGCACGCCCTTTCCTCTTAAATCCTACGCTACTCTAGATAGATCCACATGTACGCACAACAAAACGAACTTGCAAATGTAATATGGAAAAATAAAATATTTTTTTTAATGAAATAGCTCAAAACTAGGCGCTCTAGCGCAAGTTGAGAGTGTACATGAAATAATACGTATATGTGAGAGATTTAATAGAGTTATGGATGAACTGAAAATGAGTGCCGAGCATGACATAACGATGTTGGTAACATTCTTGCCGTCGGTGATCGACAAAACCCAACGTTGTGTTTATCATTAATATTTCAAAAAGTATCTTTTATCACCGATTGAAATCTTGAGACAAAAAACAAAATAGATAGGGGTATTAATATGTAAAATTTATTTTGTTGATAACATTCTATTATCAAAGATTTTATAGCATTTTGTGACATAACTTTGGATCAACCCTCGTACTTAGCCACTGCAGTACCTGTTTGTGAAATGAACTTATTCGATCAAATATTTCCTGCAAGTGATATTCTTCTTGAGAGAGAGAGAGAGCTATACATGTAGCTATGTACATAAACCATCTATACATGTAGTTGTCCTGAAGTTTCCTTTTTATGAAAATTTCAATGTGCCAACCGGTTTGCCGAGACAAAGCCACTGGAAGTAACTAATGAGTTATTAAGGTTCTAAAAAATTTGTCTTGACAAAAAGCTGCATGTTGAAATATTTCTAAAAGGTGCTGAAAATAACTTTTTTTCAGTCATAGTGGTGTTTGTTCCTGAGATGTTTCTAGAAAGCTTTCTCTTTGAGGTTTCCGCTGAAGGAATGAACGACGGGTCATACATATTCATTAACTGGAAATTTAGCCCCGCACTTAATCACTCATCCAGCCTGAGTGTCCCGCACCCAAAGAACACACTGCAATCTTTACTGCAGATTGGACCTTTTACAACCTCGGAATCGGCATACACTAGTTTTACTAATCATCTCTCAAATTTACAGCCGGTATGCCAACTGAATTTCATTTGTTTTCTTTAAAAATGAGCAAAAAGATACGATATTAAGTACTTTTCGAAAATTTGAAATTAACAGTCTGAGATAAAAGAAGTCCTCTTAAATAGTTATAGCTACTTTATTGATATAAGAAGATAATGTACTTTGTAGGCTAGTGAGTTTTATGCCTATCTATATGACGCTGTTATGTTGTACAGCCAGTATGTTCAGCAATATCCCAGCAGTTTGACCTCTCATCTTCAACGAAATCTACAAAAAATCTCCTACACAGGTATCTTGATTAGATTCTTAAGGAGGAATGCAACATCGAAATTTTATTTAATGGACTTTTAAGACATCCTTTTTAAACTAACGTGTCAGTATTAAAAGATGATATTAGCTCTTAATTGTTTTATAAGATTTTTTTTTTGTTTTTTGTTTTTTTTTTTTTGTTTTTTTTTTTTTCTCATTTTTTCCAGAGAAAAAGTAAAATTGTTTTATTTGCAAGTACATGTATGATGTTATGGAATTTACAACTGATCTCAAAAGGATCATATTAAATGGAAATAGATACCAAATTTGCAAGAATACACGGTTGCTTGGGTGTATTATGGTTTACAAAGTAATTGAACTTTACAATCTAATAGGCAACTCAGCGGCAAATGCAGAAAAAGACAGTAAATTATCATCTTTTTTTTTTTTTTTAAATTTTGTATTGATTTTGATCGTAGTCAGTTTAATTAAGATCGGATTATGGCCAAATTTTCAAATAATTAATTTCTCAAAAATTTTATCAATTTTATTTCAATTGCTTTTTATAATTTGATTGTGTAATATATCCTTCCTAGCTGTGACATTTTTCTTGATGATTTCATCCGTAGGTTTAAAAAATGTTCACAAATAATATTTAATTTTCAAAAATGTTTTTTTTATTTCAAAAACTTACTGACTTTCTTGAAATGTTTTATTAGATATTCATATCATGTATTTATTAAGAGCAAATAATAAACTCTGTCTTATTTGTAAATATATACATTTGTGGTATCTCTCTCTTATATAAACATACCTCTCTTATATAAACATACAGAGAGCAAATATCTTCATACCTGTATGAAGTTTTTCGAAGGTCATAGGTCATTACGTGACTTAATCACACAGCGCAGTAATATCTTTATAAAAAGACTTACTCTACTTAGCAATATAGCATGTCTTTCATGTAGCCTATAAAAATTTATAAAATACGCAAGTAAAATAATAATAATTTTATTAACAATGTAAACGAGTATTTAACACAGTTCTTGATCGATTTTACATAGAGAATAGAAAACTACGTGTTATAAGTTTCATATCTGAGCTGCATATCTCAACGTTTACCCTTATTTTTCTTGTAGACCTCCGAATGCTTTAATTTTTTTTTCATTAAACTTTACTCACAATAAATTTGAAAATCTGTTGGAAAATATCATTGTAATGCAATCACGCCACAAACAGCTGCACTTCGGAAGTTCAGTAGACACACCATCATCGAGATCGTTGTCTTAACAATGTAAGCTGTCGCCAGTGTCTTCGTGTCAACATCATAATAAATATGCCGTACTGAAATCGTAGATATTATGTTTCTGATTCAATTTTATACTTGATTTCAAGTTAACTGGTCCGGACAAGTGTCTCTATCCATCCCTTTCCGACCGAAATTCCTCCAACATTTAATTATCAAACATCGAACGTGTTTCTTGTGTTTTTAGCTCACCTGAGCCGAAGGCTCAAGTGAGCTTTTCTGATCAAAATTTGTCCGTTGTCTGTCGTCGGCGTCGTTGTTGTCGTAAACTTTTCACGTTTTCATCTTCTTCTCCAGAACTACTGGGCCAATTTCAATCAAACTTGGCACAAAGTATCCTTGGGTGAAGGGGTTTCAAGTTTCTTCAAATGGAGGGCCACGCCCTCCTCCAAGGGGAGATAATTACGAAATAGCAAAAAATTAATGGCATTATTGAAAAATCTTCTTCTCAAGAACCAGTGGGCCAGAAAAGATGAAACTCATGTGGAATTATTGTCAGGTAGTGTAGATTCAAGTTTGTTCAAATCATGACCCCCGGGGATAGGGTGGGGCCACAATGGACGATCAAAGTTTTACATAGGAATATATAGGAAAAATCTTAAAAAATCTTCTTCTCAAGAACTGCAAAGCCATGATGAGTCATATTTATATGGAAGCATCCTCAGGTGGTGTAGATTCAAGTTTGTTCAAATCATGACCCCCGGGGGTAGGGTGGGGCCACATTGGACGATCAAAGTTTTACATAGGAATATATAGGAAAAATCTGCAAAAATCTTCTTCTCAAGAACAGCAAAGCTATGATTGGTCATATTTATATGGAAGCATCCTCAGGTGGTGTAGATTCAAGTTTGTTCAAATCATGACCCCCAGAGGTAGGGTGGGGCCAAAATGGACGATCAATGTTTAACATAGGTGTACATAGGAAAAATCTTCAAAAATCTTCTTCTCAAGAACAGCAAAGCTATGATTGGTCATATTTATGTGGACGCATCCTCAGGTGGTGTAGATTCAAGTTTGTTCAAATTATGACCCCCGGGGGTAGGGTGGGGCCACAATGGACAATCAAAGTTTTACATAGGAATATATAGGAAAAATCTTTAAAAATCTCAAGAACAGCAAAGCCACGGTTTGTTATATTTATACGGAAGCATCCTCAGATAGTGTAGATTCAAGTTTGTTCAAATCATGACCCCCCCCCCCCCACTCCCTTTTTAGGGGTAGGTTGGGACCACTTATGCATTTAAGCTTTTCAATACTAAACTGATTATTCCTTTTTTCCTAGCCACATTGCTCAGGTGAGCGATGTGGCCCTTGGGCCTCTTGTTTTAAAACATCGAATATGGGTTCTCTTGAATACAAAAATTCCCAGACATCAATATGCTCACTATAATTGATCACAAGTAGCCTTTCAGAGAATATTCCCTTCAAAACAGAATCCTTTGCCAGATGAATTTGAAGCGTAACCGCTTTTCAAGCCGATTTACACCTTGCGTAATTAGTCAAAATCTACGACGAACAGTTAGTGCAATATTTATGTTCGATTGTCCGTCTCAAATGTATATATAAGTAATAAATAACAAGTTTAAAAACTTCACTGGGAAATGAAGTGGGTCGGTACGTGATCAAATCTTCTGAGAAGGCCTTCGGCCTTCACAGGATTTGATCACGTGACCGACCCACTTCATTTCCCAGAGAAGTTTTTAAACTTGTTATTTATTTCTTAAATAAAACAATTTTTACATTTTGTCTCAAATAAAAAAAAAACTGAAAAAAATCATATAAAATAATTCAGAATAAATATGTGTCTTTCAGCGCTAAAACCTTCTTTTTATAAGGGATGTCTTAAACATTCATTAAATCAAATTTGATGCAGAATTTCTTCATAAGTGCTAAATTATATATCAGTTACAATGCATTGGAAACAGTAGTTCAAATAATACAAATGTATTTAAATATTGATGAAGTTGAACTGTTTGTTCAAGTGTCTATTTTAAATTAAAATTTAAATACACATGCATCACTAGGCATTACTGATGGATATGTGAAAATGAGATGAGATTGTGAAAATGTTTATGTTCAGAACGTTTCTATTTGTATTTTAGGATGGACTGGTCACATCCAATTTAACAATTCCAAAAGTGCCATTCGAACATACCGTGTTTCTCATTATCAGCAGGGCAATTTCTCAATAGTGTACAATTTATCTGGAGAGCAGTGTTTCAGTACCCACACTCCCATGGAATGGATTGGAACTGGCCCGCCACTAGACACACCAAAATGTGGGTTTACGGGGAAAACCTGCAACGATGAGGGTGAGTGAAAACTTTTTTAATGCACCATGCAACAATATTTATATTCAAAAGACCCTCAAATACATAAATTTATACATTTCATAATTGTTCATTTTGAAAGAAAAAAGTTTCCTTTTTGTTGAAGGAAAATATTCATAATATTGTGTGGTTAAAAGCTCCATTAGCTTCTACTGAAGGTCGACTTGCAGCTCCAAGTGGCTATGCTCAGTGTGTCATATCTGCATTGTGTGGTGGTCCCCGTTTGCTAACTTCTGATAAAATTGATAAAGCATGGCTGGTTCACTTGTCTTCCTTCTCCTCTCCCTAGTGAGTGAACGAGTGTTCTGAGCGCCTTGTCATGCCTGCACCTATAACCCCTCTCCCCCTACATGCATAGGGGCAACCTGACAAGGTGACATAATATGCTCAAGGTTGGCTGGCTTCTGGCATACTAGTAGTTGGTACATAAGATGTTCTGTCATTCCCTAGATCCTCAGGTTTGTTGGTGTTGGCAGGATATTATACACTGCCCTTAATAGGAACTGGAGTTGGAGAGATATGTACTTTCAAATACATGAATTACACCATCTCAATATGATACTCTTCATGTCCAATTTCACCTGACTTCCCATTCCTCTTGCCTTGGTGAATCTTTCCTCTTCTTCCTGATGCCATATCTCCTGCTGGACTAGTTTCCCTCTAGCTTTGGCAGATGATCCTGTCCATCTTGTTGAGATTCAGGCCTAGGCCTTGTCTCCCTTTGTCTTTATGTCTTTGTGGCCAAATCTTGATTCTGCTTCTGACATTGCATCATTTGCTTCTGACACTGCTCCTGTGCTTTCCACTTGTGTCCTGACTGTATGTGATCTCCTGCTTCTTTTGCTTTTGGATCATTGTATTTCTTGAAGATCATCATGAGAAGAACTTTCTTAGTTTTGAATTCCTCTACCACTGGTGTAAGAAGTAAACACAGCTTCGTTGTCTTGCTGTAAAATCCCCATCCATCGAAATATGTTAACTTTCATCTCAATGCCCTCTACAGTTGTGATAGTGATGTCATAAAGCCAAGGGTGTGGCCAAATCAGTCTTGGTTGGAGTCCGTGCTGGAGGATCCACACCTTGCATATCCAAGGCAAGCCTGTCCTGTCGATGTTAGCCAGCTTCTCTGTTGTCTCATGTTTTATCCGTCTTCTATTGTTGACGTGCTTTAATGTATCTTTGTACCATTTGCCTAGGAATTTGATTGGGTTTTTAATAATTGATGGTATCTATTCGCCCTGGAATTTTAATATTAATTATTAAGTAATATGTCCTTTCTTTAAAATCAGGGTTACCAAACATTTTCAGTTTGGGATGCACCACCTAGCAAAAATTTCCTTACAACCCTCCAAAAAGGCCATCATGGGGCTCAATCATAAATTAGCTACGTTTTACAGTATACTATTTATCGGCAAATTTATTGGGACACGGCTCCCCGTCCTCCTAGTTCCTACGGCCATATACCCTGTTACTATGGCGCTGCCACGATGTTATGTAGTCTTCCACTCTGAATCTAAGATTGATCCTTTCTAGGTTATCATTCAAGATTGTGGCTATCTTTTCTGGTGTACAAGTATATTAGTGCTCAAAAGCTATTTCATTGAACTTATGGAACTCTACCGTAGGCGTTCTTCCGATCCAACCAGACAACTGCGATGTATTTTGCTTCCTTGATCAGTTGGGAGATAATAGTAGTGTATTCTAGGCATTCTGTGAATCCTGGTATTACTATGCACGCCTTTCTGCACTTGTGTATCCAAATATCCATTCTACATTATATAGTGCGTCATCCTTCTCGTAAATACTACAAAGAAAATCTTGCCTTCCACTTTGAGGAGCGACATAGTCCTCTGTTTGATCTCTGCTGAGCTCTCCTCCTTTTGTGTAAAGCAATCATCTGCTACTAGTACATGTACTATCCAGCACTTGGTGGTAAATAGCTTTCCTCCAGATGACTCTCTTTAGTCTCCATAGCCTACTGAGAAGTTTGCGGCACTTCTTGTAGACTTCGTACTTTCCTCGCCACTTCTCTAATTTCATACAGTGTTGGTTCTTTAATATCTAGAGGTTTCTGGGATTGATGTGCAGCTGGTATTCCGTCATTTTTGCAAAGTGTTTTATCTCTGGTCTCATCTGAGTGTTCTTCTTTGAAATATGATTCAACCCTCTCTTTAGGTTTAGTATCTTTCCAGTTCTCTTCCCCTTAAGCTCTTTTGCAACTTTTGATGCGAATTTACTTGTTGTTCCTGATTCTCTCTGCATAACTCAGTTCCTTTAGTATCATCGTGTGGCCATTTCTTCTTCATTACTGCTTCGCCTGTATCTATTTGTAAGTGTTTGGAGTTCTCTCGATGTTAATTATTTCCCTCTTTCTTCTACTTGGACGGTCACCTTTTTTCCCTTGTTGTTTCTCTTCCATTCCGAATCTGTCCTATGCTATGAAGTGTATATATCATTCTCTTCATGCTACTAAATTTCTTCTCCGCTGATTCTGTAAGCGTCATTTCAAGACGTCTATCCATGTTTGTGTCAAACTTCCTCCATTACTGTTTACCATTTGTGATCACTCAATTTTCTCCTTCGTATCATATGCAAGGATGTGTTGATTAACTCCTGACCCGTCATTTTATCCTCTCCTGTTTTCTAGGTTGAAACAATTGGTTGGAGGTCTGAGTTCTATAGTGCTGGACGTTTCACCTTAGCTCCCAGTTCCACACTCGCCTGATGGATCTTGGGTCCCTTGAGATTTTTGCAGATCTTTTCACATTCTCAAATGATAATATCAATTGTATGTGTCCCTAAAATAAATAGTTAAATCTAAGTTAGAAATACTTTTAAGCTCACCTGAGCCGAAGGCTCAAGTGAGCTTTTCTGATCACTTTTTGTCCAGCGTCCGTCTGTCTGTAAACTTTTTACATTTTCGACTTCTTCTCAAGAACCACTGGGCCATTTTCAACCAAACTTGCCACAAAGTATTCTTGGGTGAAGGGGATTCAAGTTTGCACAAATGAAGGGCCACGCCTTCTTTCAAGGGGAGATAATAAAGAATTAGTGAATAATTAATAGCATCTTTTAAAAATCTTCTTCTCAAGAACCACAGGGCCAGGAAAGATGAAACTCATGTGGAAGCATCCTAAGGTAGTGTAGATTCAAGTTTGTTCAAATCATGACACCCGGGGGTAGGGCGGGGCCACAATGGAGGATCAAAGTTTTACATAGAAATATATAGGAAAAACCTTTAAAAATCTTCTTCTCAAGAACAGCAAAGCCATGATGAGTCATATTTATATGGAAGCATCCTCAGGTAGTGTAGATTCAAGTTTGTTCAAATCATGACCCTCGGGGGTAGGGCGGGGCCACTATGGAGGATCAAAGTTTACATATAAATATATAGGAAAAATCTTTAAAAATCTTTTTCTCAAGAACAGCAAAAACATGATGAGTCATATTTATATGGAAGCATCCTCAGATAGTGTAGATTCAAGTTTGTTCAAATCATGACCCCCCGGGGGTAGGGTAGGGCCACAATGGAGGATCAAAGTTTTACATAGAAATATATAGGAAAAAATCTTCTTCTCAAGAACAGCAAAGCCATGATGAGTCATATTTATATGGAAGCATCCTCAGATAGTGTAGATTCTGTTTTGTTCAAATTATGACCCCCGGGGGTAGGGTGGGGCCAGAATGGAGGATCAAATATATAGAAATATATAGGAAAATTACTACTTTGAAGAACTGCAAAGCCATGATTAGTCATTTTGGTATGGAAGCATCACCAGGTAGTGTAGATTCAAGTTTGTTAAAATGATGACCCCCGGGGATAGGGTGGGGCCACAATGGGGGATGGAAAATTTTACATAGGAACATATAGGAAAATATCTTCTTCTCAAGAACTGAAAATCATTTTTAGTCATTTTGATATGAAAGCATCCTCAGGTAGTGTAAATTCAATTTTGTTCAAATGATGACCCCCGGGGGTAGAGTGGGGCCCAGTGGGGGGTCGAAAGTTTTACATAAGAACATATAGAAAAAATATTACTTCTCAAGAACAGAAAAGCTATGTTAAGTCATATTGATATGGAAGCATCCTCAGGTAGTGTAGATTCAAGTTTGTTCAAATGATGACCCCTGGGATAGGGAGGGCCAACATGGGGGATCAAAATTTTTACAAAGGAATATATGGGAAAATTTTTTAAAAATCTTCCCACGTACAAAAGCCATTTGTTATACTGACATGGAAGCATCATCAGGTAGTTTAAAATTCAAGCCCCCCCCCCCCCCCGTAATCTTTTTAATACTGAACTGATTTGTGCTTTTGCCTAGCCAATGTGCTCAGGTGAGCGATGAGGCCCATGGGCCTCTTGTTCATATTCAAGGAATTTTCACGATATTATCGATATCTCTACAGCCGAAAGTACTGATACTGGAGCGATTATCGCTGGAGCTTGTATTGGGGGACTGGTCAGCATAGCAGCCCTTATTCTGGCATTTATTCTCTACAGGTGCGTGCGGGTGCTTCTTGATTGATACAGATTGCTTACTTTGATTATCTGTAATGAGCTGTTATATGAAGAAAGAAACCACTGAGTTTTTCTGACATCTTGATGTTGATAGGAAAAATATTTTTTTAACATTCATTGCAGGAAAATGAGGTTTGAAAAGGAATTGATGGGGATGCTGTGGAAAGTAAATGAAAATGAGATCAAACTGAGAAACAAACATCCTACTCCAAAACAGCAGGAAGGACCTCATCCAACAAAAAAGCTGGTCAGAATGGTAGGGAGCTGATATCAAAGGACAATGATATAGAACACACATTATTAAACATTTCTTGAAATATATCTAAGATAAATTACTTGAAAACCATAACTTATCTACAGGAAACGAGGGGCACCCTGGGATTTGGTTCTTCTTGCAGTCTTGACAAAAACTTCCTGTTTGCCCCAATAGGGAATTACAAGGTAAGGACCTTATTTGTATTGTGAATTGGACTTCATATGTAATTAAATGACCACCAAGAAGAAAGTAACTATCGATTGAATATTTTTCAGGGATCGGTAGTGGCTGTAAAAAGTTTACAAAGAAGATCCATTCGACTGACAAGGGAAGTTCTGCGAGATCTCAAAACGGTAACATAAGCATTTACATGTATGTTATTCAGAACTTTTAAAAATAAATTCTGTTGTTTTAAATGCAGGTTTTACAATTTATTGCAGTTGAGAGAATTACATCACGACAACTTAAACCAGTTTGTTGGTGCCAATTTGGAACCCGAGAACTGTTATGTTCTTACCATGTATTGTGCCAAGGGAAGTTTACAGGTAATTATTAGTTTAAAATAATACCCCATAATTTACATTGATGGCATTTATTGAAGATTGAGAAGAAAACAAGTAAACTTTATATTTAATTCAGGATATTATAGAAAATGACGATATTAAGCTGGATTGGATGTTCAAAATGTCCTTTGCACTTGATTTAGCAAGGGTGAGTGTTAAATGCTAACCATCAAATTTTATCATTCCTTTCAATATTGAAAAATTCATCTTAATCACGTTATAATCTAAACAGGGCATGGAATTTTTACAAAAGTCTTCCTTGAAATCCCACGGTAATCTGAAGTCCAGTAACTGTGTTATAGACAGTCGCTGGGTTTTAAAACTGACAGATTACGGGGCTATAACCACTCACCCCGAGGAGCCCACTCAGGAAATTGGGGAACACGAATTCTATACAGGTAAGACATATCTAGAGTATAATACCTAACACATTTATATGAAATATAATTGTTCAATTTTAACTGAGAAAAATCATAACATTGTTAATTATAAAGGTATCTTTTCTTGTACGTGTTATTCGTAGAAATGAAAGAGAGTCCGTTAAAAAAAAGTATATTTCGTAAATTGTATCTTTTCCCTTCAGGTTTGTTTTGGACGGCACCAGAGCTACTGAGACTTCAGAAAATGCCCCGTAAAGGGACGCAGAAGGGGGATGTTTACAGCTTTGGTATCATTCTACAGGAAATATTTCTCAGGGCTGCCCCGTACTACTTCAACATTGTATCTTCTCCAAAAGGTGTGTGTAAAATGGCTCTTGTTTCGGTATATACATGTAAAGATGAGTGTACAGAGATTAGTTTAGACAGTTCCATGTACGATTGTGATGCTATCAAAGCAGGCATGTAGCGTCGTTTTTGAAAGAGAGAGGGGGTGGGTAGGTGGGTGATTATCAACTTGCGTAAAAAATCTTTGACGAAAATCTTTTTTCCAAACGCAGGACATCTTATTTCGTAGGAGAAGTTGGTTGGGGAATGGGTGGAGGAGTTCGCCAATAAAAAAATTTAAAATACACTACTATCAAAGAATTTCACTCTACAGGACAAAAATTGGGGGTGGAGGGGAACCAGCCTGATGAACATTTTCATTATAAAAACATTAGTAAAACATTGGTGAAACATAGTAAAACATTGTTCGGAAAAAAGTTACCTACATTGTGGATTTTATTTCTCAGTTAAGTTCTTGGTATTCTCAAAAGTACCACTGCGTGATGTTGCGTATTTTTAATTAATCAGGGAACACAGCTAGATAGGTTGTAAATCGAAAGGATAACACTTGATTCATGAAAAAGTTTCATTTTCAGAGATAATAATGAGGGTTCGGAACCATGAAGTGCCTCCGTATCGTCCACACATACCAGAGGACAGCAATGTCCCGGATAAAGCAATATTTCTAATGAGGTGCTGCTGGCACGAGCACTCCGAATCGAGGCCAGACTTCCATAATATTAGGAAGAGGCTGGTCGATATAAACAGTGGAAGGTAAAGAGTATACCTGTTTTTTTCTGCTCATTTAGATATTTAAAGAGGTACGAAAGATAAATCTAGCAGATTTACTGATTCAAGGCCTACCAAATACAACGATAAGTCTAACAGATTTATGCCTAGGTCACATTTAAGCCGATGCTCGGGCGACCAAATATCGTCGGCTGAAAAAAACATGATCGGCCGACACTTGTACCGTGCTACGCAGAGTAGTCACATTAATTCCTAGGATACCGATGCTTTTTAAAGTAAAAATATTTATAAGTCGGTTAACTGTCGCCCGATCATTGTTCGCTGGGCTGCAGTTTGTTTTTCACCGTCACCCGACGTTTACGAAAACCCAATTCCTAAATGTCGACCGACCGACGACCGACTTTAAAAACTGTCTACCGATTGTCGGACGATGATCGTAGTTTGGACTTTTTTACGACTCCTTCAATTGAAGGAATCGGCCACCGACGCAGAAAAAAATTATGTTTTCCCGACGCAAAACACAAAATTGATCGGCCGACGAATGAGGTCAAAATCGGGCAAGACAACGACCGATGTCGCCCCGAATAATCCAATTTCTGCCTAAAAGCAGTCGGCCGTCGATCGGTTTTGGAAATGTGACTGGGGTTTCACTGGTACATAGGCCTAACACAGGCAAAGTTGTTAACAGTAAACCCAGCGATTTTACGATTTTATAATTACCAGCATTATTTCGAGTTTGTGAAGATTTGAGTCAAACAACTTGGTAGGGGAGGCAAAAACTACTTTAAAAATGGAAACTTTGACGATGTGGTAACGTTGACGAAATTGACGAATTTCTACTAATCGTCAAAGTTTCCACTCGTCAAATTTCACATTCCTGTTAAAGAGCACTGTTAAATGCTAGTAGATCGTCAAATTTTCCACTTGCCATTTTTGTAATATACCGAAATCGTCAAAATTTCAACCCTTCAATATAACCACTTTTACAGTAGTTCTTACAGCAAATGACTTCTAAGTTGAAAACGTCACAGTAGTACAAAACTGTCTAAAAATCAATGTCTTTTTCAATGTCTTATAAATAGGTCGCACTTAGGCCGATGGTCGGGCGACCCAATTCTTTTCGTACCGTCGGCTAAAAAACATGATTGGCCGAATCTGGAATCGGGCGACGCGGAGTAGTCCTAGGAACACTGATAATTTTCAAAAATTAAATAATTCCAATGAGCCAACAGTCGCACGATCATCGTTCGCTAAGCCGCAGTTTGATTTTCACCGTCGGCCAACATTTACGAAAACCCTATTCCTAAAGTATCAGTCACATTTTCTAGTGATGGGGTATACGATGGGCAACCGATGGGTTTTTTGATAAAAATGACTTGGTTGCCGGCTGGACACCCATAGTAATCGGACGGTGACTGAGGCCATCGGGCGAATCTGTTGGGGTTATCGGGAGAAAATAAGTTGTAGTTAAAAATCAGCGATGTCTCCACCGATGCCCCACATCGCTCCTCATCGGCAACCCATCATTACCACATCTTTCAAGGATTGGCCGATGTATGGCCCAGCATCGTCCAGTGTCCGTTGAATCTGAGTTCATCAGGGGTGAGTGGTGGGCAACAGACATCGGCCGATCGACGGTCGATGTTCGACCAAACTTTGGCCCATAGTCGACCGATGTACGATCGATGTTCACCAATGTATGAGCGTCAACGGCCGAGCATTGTAGGATGATCGGTGAAAACTATCCGGTCGAGGTCCGGCCGGTAATCAGTGTCACGCCTGGGGTATGCGTGTTGCTGTGAAAGATGTTAAGGACTACTTGGCCGATAAGGACCACTGTTGGGGCATCGCTCACATCACCTATTAGCACCGGTCTACGGCCACCGGCCGGTAAATCTGCCAATGGTCGGACGATGATCGAAGGTTGGTCGACGGGCTATTCAACGACTGCTTCAATTGAGGGAATCGGGGCCACCGACGCAGGAAAAAATATAACATGGCCCGACAGACACAAAATTGGTCAGCCGACGAAAAAAAGAGGTCATAATCGGGCAAGACAAAGGCCAATTCTTTTTTTTTCACCTCAAAAACCGTCGACTGTTGGTCTTTTTTTGGAAATGTGAGTGGGATTAAATGTTTAATGACATTGTATTAGATGTATATATTTTTAAAATTATTTTACGAGTTTATTATTCCGTTTTGTGATTTTTCCAGGAAAATCAACATTATGGACAACATGATTCAGATGTTGGAGGCATACAGCAATAACCTGGAGCAGTTGGTCACTGAAAGGACAGAGGAACTGGCCCTGGAGAAACAGAAAACAGACAGGCTTCTATACAATATGCTTCCACCGTAAATAATATTCTGTTTCCTGTTAGAACAATAATATATTAAATTGTGATAATTATTATAGAAAATACATATTAAAGAGTTTTTCTTATTTGCAGACTGGTTGCTGAGCAACTGAAACGTGGAGAGTCGGTGCAGCCAGAGTGCTTTGATGACGTCTCCATTTTCTTCTCCGATATCGTCGGTTTTACAACGATAGCTAACCAAAGCCAGCCGCTACAGGTACTTTGTACCCGAGTTTTGAATATACTCAGGAATTCAAACATATAACCGCAAAACCAGTTCTTTATGGTTAATTAAATTTCATTTATGAATTGCCATTAGTACACTGTACATGCAGTATTTCTTTTTCAGGTTGTTGACCTTTTGAATGATCTGTATACAACTTTTGACGAAATCATTGCACGTCATGATGTGTACAAGGTATATTGTGGCAACATCTTGTATGCATATAATCTTTACTTACTTCCTCTGGTTAGCATATTTATCGTCATTGCTATATTGAGTTGTTATAATTAGGGTTGAATTTTTACTATGTCAAAGGTTGAAACCATCGGTGATGCCTACATGTGTGTTAGTGGTCTTCCGAGAAGGAATGGCAAGAAACATTGTGGTGAAATTGCTAATATGGCACTGGACCTATTAAATGGAGTGACAAACTTTAAGATACGCCACCTCCCGGGATCGAAGCTTCAACTGAGGATCGGTCTCCATACAGGGGGTTGTGCTGCGGGGGTAGTGGGCACTGCCATGCCGAGATATTGTCTGTTTGGAGATACCGTAAATATGGCTTCAAGAATGGAGTCCACAGGAAAAGGTAACACTTGAATATTTAATTATTGAATGCCTTGTATCTACTTGTTTAAATCCGGAATTTGTGCAAATGTTTCTCGAGTTACACCATGTATATTGAATTCAGGTTTTGTATTACAAGTTTACAACACGGAAAATATTAATATCACGAACATATTCTTAATATTAAGAAATATATTCTTCGTGATGCAAATTTAAGTTGATTCCATTCGAAATTATAGCAGTACGCACACGCATGACGCGAACTACAAATGTAGTTCATTTGCTTACAGTTGCTGTTCCTTTTCATATTTTTAACAACAATTGTACTTTTTATTTGGGATATAAATGTTTCATGGTGTAGAAACAAAGAGGGTGTTGCAGTTCCTACATTATCGATTTCTAATTTATGATTAAATGAAATGTAATTTAGTCACAACACAAAATATGACAGATTTTGCGCTTTTTAAGTATGAAATCCCCTTTGTTCTGAAAACATTCCTCCTTGAAACAGAATTAATTTGATATGAATATTAAAAGTCAGCAATTTTCTTCAAAACTGTTTTCCAATTTTTGTTTCAAAGGCATATTTTTTAAAATCTTAAAAATTGAAGAATTGTTTTTGTTCCTTACTATAGCTTCCTTTTCATATTACAGGTATATAAAATAGGGGCAGGGAATACCGTATTTTGCAATTCCATGTAAATGTCCTTCTCGTTATCGGAAATAATCACAAGTTTCTGCAACACCCTCTTTTCTATGTAATGATGCAAGTATTTTTCTATTCTGAAGTGGAAATAGCCATAATGTAGAAACGAATTTAGCTCGTTAAAAGGTTCCAGAAATTAAAGAAAAATCGATAGAATATTTAAAATTAATTCGTTCATAACGTATTCATATTTTATAAGAAGGAACAAAAAGTATAATTTTGAGTTTTTCCCATCACTTCCTTTGATAGTACTTGTTGTTTATTATTAGCTCTACATATCCACATTAGTGCTGCAATGAATTCTGCCCTCCAGGAACTTGGATGGGGGTTTATGACAATGGAGCGAGGGATCATAGACGTTAAGGTAAGCAGAGTTCTGTAAAGGATGCAAATAGACATTATTTCTCCTGAATTCTTTAGAATTTTTGAGTTAGCGTGACTGTTACATTGTCACAAGGTGACGAAAAATCTGTCTCAGTTTTTGAAGATCGAAATTAATGAATAAACTCAGTTAGTCATTATATAGCTAACATTGATAAAATCAACATTGTTTTAAATATTATGGAAAATCGTTATGTACAAAGTTAAGAATTCGAAAGCTCAGTTCATTCGATATTTAGACATTTTAGATGCGAAATGCAAACCTTCTGTAATTGCTTTCCGGCTTTCGTTAAATGTCATGAAACGATCATTTGAATTGGTGGGAGGGGAGGGACCGTATTGAGTCGGATTATTTATTTTCATAACTTTAAAGGACTGAAAAAAGGAACAGTATCATATTGTAAATTTTGAATTTACTGGATGGAGGTAACTGCAAAACTTACATGATAACTTCATGTTGTAAATTTTGCTCCACCCAGTAAATTCACAATTTACAAGGATACCAGACACAGGTTATTTATTTTCTAATTATTAGTATTTTCCTCGGGTTTTGGGCTTCGCCACCACAAATACTGTTACATGTAACTCAAATTAATAGCATAAATAATATTGCAATTTTAATATGTATATTTTACTTTAATATACATTTACAATACCTTAATATAAGTAAATACGCGTAATTTCGGTGTGATCAGCTCAGGAATATAACATTGGAATTATTAAATGATAACAAACAAAAAAACGACTGTCTTAAGTCCACAACGAACTCTCGATAATGTATAAATGTCTTAAATGTAGCTAGCAAAGCGAGCCGACAAAATCGAAGAATTGGAGACGGCGAACAAAAACCTTTAATTAGAAAAACGTATTTTTCATCACAATTGTAGAACGTCAAAATCAGTTTACATATTTTCTTGCCGGTGGAGACAGACAATTTTTCCCCAAATTTTTCAGGAATTGGATATTTCCAAAATCTCTCTTTCTCTCCCCCCCCCCCCCCCCCGAATCGTCCTCTTATGGCTGTGAATTTCAAATCTTGGTGTTATTCCTTGTGCGGAGTACTCTGTATTGAACCATTAAACATAACACTTAGTTCTGTACCGACCGGTCACGGTAGCCTAGTGGTAGGGCGCTCGCTTCTTGACCAGAAGGCCCGGGTTCGATTTTTGTTAAACCTAAGACATAAAACCAGGTAGTGGTGTTCCTTCGCCAAGCGCCCGGCACTAAAAGTGAAAGTCACGGGTCTTCGGATGAAACTTTAAAAACCAAGCTCCCGTGTCACGGTAGGCGTTGGCACGATAAAGAACCTTCACTGCAATGGCCCTGAGTGCCGAGTATTGATCTAAATTTGAAGCCCTTCACTGGCATACGGTGACGTCTCTATATGAGTGAAAAATTCTCGAATGGGACGTTTAACAACATGAAATCTATCAATCAATATTTCTGTACACTTCATAATTTAAAAAGTTTGTTTTGGTTTTAATCTGTTGTTTTCTAGGGTAAAGGCCTTCAGAAAACTTACTGGTTGATCGGGAAGACGGGATACACGAAACCATTGCCACAAACCATGATGAAGTATAACTTTTTTAATTGCCTAATGTTACCCATATTTTCAGTAGTTGGTAGAGTTTTTTTAAAAATGCTTTTATCCCTTTTAGTTTACAAGAAAAATGGCGGCAGTCTCAAGATACTGGAAGACCTTGCTCTCCGACAGAATCTCATATTTCGGACCGTGACCATAGTGACAGTATGTATGGGCGCGCATTCCGGAAGACATCCATTGCCATTAGTTTTCTCCACTCGTTGTCACGTGATGCTCATACCCCTGACAGTCATTCTGTCTCTGAACTTAGTGTTCAAGACTTACACCTGTCATGTGAAAGTTTAAAGGACAAAAAGTCACCCTCTCCCGTGACTCTGTCGCCAGTTCAAAGGTCACAGAGCATGGGTGAAAATAAATTAACAAGACCAGTTATAAACCAGCTAATGAAAAACAAAAAGTCAAGACCAGAACTGAAAAGTAAATTATCTACGGATTCTTCCAGTGATGAAAGCAAGGATAGTGACCAAAGTATTACGTCCAAAGGAAACTCAAAGAAATTTTCAATACCTAAAATAGAAATTTCATAGAAATCACTCTCTTTCATGTACTTGCCAAACCAAAAAATTATGAGAAATGTTTAAATGTCAATGCCAATAAAGACTAGTTGCTGATCTTTATTCAAAAGATCCTGTTGCAATATAATTCTATTGTTATTAGCTATTGCATATATCTATAAACTATTGTTCTTATTTTGAATTAAAATGTATACTTTGAAAATGAATTGAGAAATTATATATATCCACAATGTGCCAGTGTGAATGTGATGGGACGTTTTAACAATACACCTAGACGTAGGCGTGGTCAGGGACATCGATCTTAAAATTATATACCAAATACAGATATCTTTTTTTATTCACTTTTACTTTATGTCAATAACAATTAGATCTTCACCACATTCGCACTAATTTTCAGGCCCGTAGGAAGCAATTTCAGTTGGGGGGGGGGGGAGGAGGGAGGGGCACAGCCATACATTTTTCAGTTGACAGTTGAGGGGGCACTACAAAAAAAGGTCAACTACCAAAAATACCTTGACAAGCAAAAAAAAACTAAACAAAACGAAACAAAAAAAGGCCATCAGACGTTTTTTATTGAGTGGGTACAAGCATATAGTATCAATGTTTACTATAGTAATCTATATATCGGCAAAATTATAGGGGGCATGGCCCCCCGTGCCCCCCCCCCCCCCCCGGTTCCTACGGACATGAGCTTTACTCGGTTCCCTCGAAATTTTTAATGGACTGTTTGAAGAAGGTAAAGCAAGTCCATACATGTACTTCGATTGTAAAAAAATATATTTAGTGTTTGTGATTATGGATATTTTTTTCAGCACAGGCTCTTTAAGCCACCACATATGTCGGAAGATAATTATTTTGATTCAACTCATTGGTTCTTTAACTTAAATTTTCCAACAAAGGAAAAGATGCTGTGAAAGTTAGTAACATTCGAAATCATATAAAAAGTTCAGTCTCGCATTCCACCATATTTCAAACTAAAGTCAACACCTTGGATTTCCCACTTATATTCATATTCCCAAAATATTGCTTCCAAACTTTTCAATTACAAACAAATCTTACAGTGCCTAGATATTGAACATTTAAAACAAAATCCTCTTAAGCGTTCTTGCTCTTCTTCTTTCAACCAAAGTCTCATTGGACGCAGCATTTGAGTGGTGACGTTAATACAGTTGAAAACAAGAGGTGCTGTGAGCACTGAGCTCACAAAATGACACTCCCACTCCCATATCAGTATAAATGCAAAGTCCATGTTTTGCTGGGATGGGGAACCTCAAATATCTGTCCGATCAGAACATAAAATAAGAGGTGCACAATGGCACTTTGTAAGAAAGATTATGTGAAAGTCTAATTAAATTTTATTCGGCGGTATAAGAGGATACCCTCAAGTGTTAAGAACGTACGGAAAGAGGTACGAAAGGACGGACATTCCCATCACTTTATACCTCCCGCTTCTATATCAGGAGGGGGAGGGGGTGTTATAATGACGACCTAAAAGCAATCACCTTAAAAGGTCCTAAATACAGAACCCAAATAGAAAATCTTATTTTTACTGTATTTTAGAAGAACTTTGTTTTAATTTTATAACTGGAAATCTAACTTGTACTCGAATTTCACGTTCTAAGGATGAAATTCTTCAAAATCACATTTCAGTCTTTAATACTTTTGACATTCCAGTCAACCAAGGTGAGTTCGATCTACCCTACCTATACTGCATTTCTAAACTTCTAAAAATCCTTACAAAGATATATTGCCTGGTCCAGCAAATGCTCTACCAAGCCCCTGTCTTTTCTCCTCACAAAAATATTAACTGCTGTAAAGGAGAAACTTCAGACGTACTGTGCTACAGCATATTCTAGAAGTTGTGTAAGTCAGTAGTGGGTTCTTAAAAACTCTAAAGATCTTTCAGAAAATTTAATTTTTTTTTCAGACATCAAAACGTACACTTTGACTTTTCTACCCTTTATACTAGCATTCGTCATGATAAATTAAAACAGGTATTTTGATATCACAAACAACTGCTTTAACTCAGAAATTTTCATCAATCATGACGGTCATCAAAAAATTTGTTAAAAATCACTGATTTTACACACAAGTACTGTAGAATTGATATTAAAAGGATGTTGGAGTTTCTCATTGACAACATCTATGTAGTTTTTGGAGTCCAGGTCTACCAACAAACTGTTGAAATTCCGATGAGCACTACTTTTGCTCCTTTATCAGTCGATCTGTTTTTATACTCCCTTGACAGAAATTATTCAGAGCATCTACATGATGAGAAGAAAACACTTGGTGTGCCCTCAAACTCGACATTCAGATATCTTGACGACATTTCATCAATCAACAATAGTTACTTCCATTTATGTGCCGACTCGGTATATCCCAGTAAACGGGAAATAAAAGACACCACAGAGTCTATCACATCTGTTTCATATTATATATTTTATATAAGATCTCCCATGATTTGTGGTTGGATATGATTTTTATCCAACGAGATGTGTGTTTTTTTAATTCCCCGAGCCTTGGTGAGGGGATAAAAACACAACGAGTTTCTTTTATCACATATTTTATACATTACTATCAATGTTTTACACTGTTTTTATATATGAATCCACATTATTTTACTTCATCACTTTGAAACAAAAACCATTGTGACGTCATAGCAGTGGTATATAAAAAAAAAATATTCAATGAGTGATATCCTCGGGATAAAGGGGTAATTATGTGATAAATATCATAAACATATTATGACTACACATGATAAGGGAAAATTAGTATTCATGTTACAACTAAATTGTAAATATGACAAACGAGATGAACAGCATTTCCATCGTCTCCTTTTTATATCCCGGTGCTTGTATAGTGATGGGGTGTCCATCTTTCCGCACCTGGTAATACATGGGGTACCTATCTCTTATCCGCAACTCCTCCTATACCACTGAATAAAATTTAAAGGGACTTTCATAGATTCTTTATTACAAAGTGCCACTGTGCATCTCTATTTCATTTTTCAATCGGACAGATTTTTTTTTGGATTCCCCTAGCAAAACATGGACACTGCCATTCTTTCTATAAAATGGGAAGGGGGGGTTACATATTTCTTATCCGCAACTCCTCCTCTCTACTGAATAAAATTTAATTAGATTTTCACAGAATCTTTACTAGTATTACATAATGCCACTGCATGTGCATTGCCTATTTTTTGTTTTGATCGGACATATATTTTGCGTTTTTAGCAAAACATGGACACTGCCATTCCTACAACATGTATAATATGGGGTTACCCATCTCTTATCGTAACGCCTTCAATACCACTGAATAAAATTCAGTAAAACTTTCACAGAATCATTATCATAAAGTCCAATTGCGAAGTATGTACTTACAGAAGATGGGTTTCTGCTAACTGTTAGTTTGGCATGCCTATTGCTATCTGTCAGTTCCGCCCCTGGACTGCTCGCCTGTTGATTCCGATCGTCATCAGATACCGTATATACTCGCCTATAAGTCGGTTTTTTGCGAGTTAAAATTTGGTCCAAAACCCCATGTCCGACTTATAGGCGAGTCATAAAAAGATTAGTATTTTTCTGGAGAGCGAAATGTAGTATTTTATAAACATTTCCAATGATTTTCGCTGAACAATGTCTGGATATATTATATTATTTATGTATTCTAAGATTACAAATAAACACAAGTATTTACATATTTTAATAATTTTATTTTTATCTTTAAGTGTGTATTATATATTTTTCTTATGATTTAAAATTAAATGTCGGCGTCATTTCTAAAAATATTGATCAAAACCTGGTTAAAACATTACACCATTGATTTGAAATTGTCAACTGATTCTGGCAAAAAGTTGTACCGAATTATAAGCGGGTCAATGGCAAATTCCTCCAAAATAACCTCAAAAAATACAACCGACTTATAGGCGGACCGACTTATAGCCGAGTATATACGGTAGTCTCCAACCTTCACCGGATGTTTCTACCCTAAACCATGACATCCCATAGTTAGTGGTGGCCAATCCACCACTCGATGGATCCCGACTTCCAGCACAGATCATCTTGGCGGTGCCATATTCAGCAGGATGACCTCTCTGCTGCTTCTACAAGTCTTCTTATAGCTGCCTTGTTTGCTCTTCCTGATACCCCTAATCGTGCGAAAAGCTTCCACATCGATCGCGCTGGGAACCCTCTTCAGCCGACTTCTATCGGAAACAGCCAAAATTTTTGCAGGTTTGCATATTTAAGGCTCTTCCTCTCATGTGCCACCTTACAATTTTCTTCCCATGATACGGTCAGCTCTATTGCTACCAACGTCTTCGACTGCTGGGACACTAATACTGCGTATGGTCGTAGGCTGGTCCCCACGATGTTAGGGAAAACTAACTTCCTGTCTAGATTCACTCTGAGCTCCCAGTCTCGCCCTCTATCCAGCATTGATGTTCACCTTGCTGCTTTTGTGTCAGCCGTTGCTTCATCCTGTCTCACAAACTGCATTTGTCTTCGGTTCATATGACTGTTGGTCGTTTTCTTCTTCTCTCCACCTCCAGAACATCAGCCAACTCTTGCAAGACTTTGTCGAGTCGCCATCTTTATCTCCCCTGAGTCAGCGCTACTTGGCATCCTAATAGAATATGCGCCATGGTTCCTCTCTTACCACACAGCTTACAGTTTGGGTCTTCGCTTTGTTCTCACTTCTGCAAGTTTACAGGAGATGGGGATATGTCATACACTGACCTCAGCAGGAACAAGATTCTAAACGGGTCCTCTTCCGCAATTTTGTCCATGTTTATCCCAGTTCCGGTAAGTCCCACTTCATCCAGGCTCCTTGTTTTCCAAGTTCTGTTGATTTTGCTTTCCGTTGATCTTCCTCAGTGCACTTCAGCCTGAATCATGATGCGCCTTTCTGCTGCTGATAGTTTTGATCACTACAGGAAATGTGACATTTCCAAGCATTGTCGCCTAGTGCTTCTAATGAAGGAGAAACTTCAGGAGGACTGTATCACAGTATATTCGAGAAGTGGTGTAAATCAGATGTGGATACTTAAAAACTCCAAAGAACTTTTGGAAAAT